GGGCAGGGGTGTGTCCGGCTCTACACCACACTCCTCTCCTCTCCCTCCACCTGGAAGGAAACATACAGGAGAAAACATGGCTGCAGACACAGGGCGCCTGGCACCATAGGGACCAAGGTCTGTGCAGGGACAGCCCCAGGCCACCCACAGTGACCCTGAGGAGTGGCCTGCCCTCCAGGAGACCAGCTACACGGGACAAATATGCTTTGCATGAAAAACAAGCCCCAAGATGTCAGGGAGCCAGGAGGAGGGCTTCAAAGCCCTCAGTTCACTCCCAGTGAGAACCATCTGAGCATGGGGAAGAGCCACACTCCTGGGCTCCAAGACAAAACAGGTGCTCAGGCTCCTGGGAGGCGTCCCGGCAGGAAAATGCAGATGCCCAGGCTCCTGGGAGGCGTCCTGATGGGAAAATGCAGCTAGTCCCCTCACTACGACTGCAGCTTCACTCACCCACTGTGTCCAAGCCGGGTCTCTGGGTGCCGACGGGCAGCTCCGAGGCCAGACTCTCCCCGATGTACTTGTTCTGGGAGTTGAAGCTGCACACAGGGGTGTGACAAGGAACGGGGGGCAATGGCCCTCCGTTCACAATTTCACCAACCGACACCGTCAGCTTCCTGGTAATAAACACCGACTTCCTGGTCTTGGATAATCCCTCTGGTTCCAGGAATGCGGCCCGGTTCAGCTCCACACAGCTACGCAGACCACAAGAAGACCCCAGAGGGGCGTCACCAAGGGAGAAGGCAGCTTCACCCTCAGTGCCCCGCTGAGTGCTGCAAGCCCCTCAGGCGTCACCACAGCCATGTATAAATAACAGAAAGCAGAGGCCTGGGTCCCACTGCCGCACCCTGGAGCCTCTGTAGGTCCCTGGAACCACTGAGCCCAGCATGTTAACAGACGCACGCTGACTCACTCCTGCCTCCTTGCTGGCTCACCCAAAACCACCTTGTTTTGTGAGGCAGAACGGGAAGGAGGAGACAGGCAGCGGGCAGGTGAGGAGTTACAGGAGGCAGGGTGGGGACCCAGGCACTGGGTATGGAGTGTAAGCTGCGGGTTTCTGAGACAGCGTCTGTGAGTCTCACCACTCTGACTACTAAGTACCGGAGAAGACTCCAGCCTGGCCTGCGGGTGCCTCCATCCCCACCGTCACACGCTGCCCGTCATTGGCTGGCAAAGGCAGTCAAGGGAAAGAATAAGGAAGGTCCTAACTTCTATCTTTAGGTTCGTTGGCAACTCATGAAAAGGACTGATTCTGGAGTCACAAAGAACTTGGTCTGAGCCCTCAATGTGCAGACAGCCAGGGTGTGACCTTCGGAACACCCCCAGCCATTCTGAGTCTCATGTGTTCACCTGCATGGCAGGGGGAATGCACCTTCTTCAAGTCAGGCAAGCAGAGAGTCCCTCACAGTCCTTTATCAGAATTAACAAGAAAAAAGGAGACAGGGGCCCCGCAGTTCCACTCTTAGCTCTTACCCGTCGGAAACGGTGAGGCCGTGGCAGGTGAGGAAGTCGGTCGCCTCTTCGCAGTCTCTGAACAGCAGCATGCGCACCACGCCATCCAGGGGAAAGACGGTGGCTCGCTGTGTGCTCACCGTGTACGCGAAGTTGAGCGCCCGGAGAGCATCCTTGCGGATCTGAAAGGAGGAGCCAGATCACTGCAGTCTCAGAGGAAGGCCCAGTCAGACACTTGCAGTCAGCCCATGACCACAGACATGGCCAGCATGGGGGGCATGGGCTCCTCCTGGGCTGAGTCTACCAGAAGGCGCTTTGGCAACATGAAACCCCAGCTTAGAGATCGTACGCGTTCTGCTCGGGGCAATGCTCAGGAATGCGTGCCAAGCAAACACTCTCATAGAGAAGGATGGCTTGTGAAAGTTTTATTTATAAGAGAAATCATGAAACAAACTGTCTACCAACAAGGCCAGGTGAAGTCAGCTGTGCAGCATCCACATGATAAAATGCCAGGAAGGTGCTACAGAGGACCCCAGAGACCATGGAATGCCAGCAGGAAACCAACCCCGTGGAATGACATATAATAGTTGGAGACAACTGTTCATGGCATTCTAACAAGAGCCTTTAAAAAAAGAAGACAGAGGCCAGGTGCAGTGGCTCACACTTGTAATCTCAGCACTTTGGGAGGCCAAGGTGGCAGGATCGCTTGAGCCCAGGAGTTCAAGACCAGCCTGGGCAACATAGCTACATCCTGTTCTCTAAAAAAAAAAAAAAAAAGGTTTAATTAGTGGGGCTTGGTGGCATGCACCCGTGGTTCCAGCGACATCGGAGGCTGAAGTGGGAGACCTGCTTGAGCCCAAAAGGCTGAGGCTGCAGTGAGCCTTGATCACACCACTGCACTCCAGCCTAGGTGACAGAGTGAGAACCAGTCTCTTAAAAAAAAAAAAAAAATGGGGCTGGGTGCAGTGGCTCATGCCTATAATCCCAGCACTTTGGGAGGCCAAGGTAGGCAGGTCACTTGAAGCCAGGAGTTTGAGACCAGCCTGGCCAACATGGTGAAACCCCGTCTCTCCTAAAAATACAAAAATTAGCTGGGTATGGTGGTAGGCACCTGTGATACCAGCTACTAGGGAGGCTGAGGCAGGAGAATCGCTTCAACCCGGGAGGTGGAGGTTGCAGTGAGCCGAGATCACACCACTGTACTCCAGCCTGGGTGACAGAATGAGACTCCATCTCAAAAAATTAAATAAATAAAAATAAAATTAAAAATAGACAAAGGAAAAACATGAAAATGCTAAGAAAAATTATGCTTGAGTGCTGGGACTTTGGTGCCTAAGCTGTTAGTCCTCTTCCAATGTTCTTGAATTCAACCAACATTGATCGAGCATTTGCTCTGTGCCTGGCACCGTTTTTAACGCTGAGAGTTCAACAGTGAACAAAAACAAACTCCCTGTCCCCATGTAGCTGACATGCCAGGGGAAAGACCAGTGCAACAGAAAACGAACTCATCAAACACACAGAACGGTGATTCAGTGTGGCAGATGGGCAGGGAGAACGGGGAGCACTGGTGGGGGCCCTGCTGAGGGCGGCAGCCAAGCCTCACCTGGCCTCAGGGAGGTGGAGACAGCGCCGTGCGGCTATGCGAGTGCAGAACAGCAGTGGGAGCAGCAAGCACAAAGCCCCTGAGCAGGAGTGCACGGGGTTGCGGGGACAGGAGGCTGCCTCTGTGCGCCACTGCTGGTGAACAGTTTTTCTAAAGAAAAATACCTGAATATCTCTTTTGTTTAAAGCTATTAAAAATGGCCAGGCAAGGTGGTTCACGCCTGCAATCCCAGCACTTTGGGATGCCAAGGCGGGTGGATCACCTGAGGCTAGGAGTTCGAGATCAGCCTGGCCAACATGGCAAAATCGCGTCTCTACTAAGTTAGCTGGGCATGGTGGTGGGCTCCTGTAATTCCAGCTACTCAGGAGGGAGGCTTAGGCAGGAGAATCGCTTGAACCCAGGAGGTGGAGGTTGCAGTGAGTAGAGATCGCGCCACTGCACTCCACCCTAGGCAACAGAGCGAGACTCCATCTCTAAATAAGTAAAATTTAAAATGGTCAACATTCTACTAACACTCAATCATCATGTATACAATATTAACTATACTTTTTTAATTTTTTTTTTTTTTTTTTTTTTTTTTTTTGAGAGAGAGGGTCTCTGTCACCCAGGCTGGAGAGTGCAGATCTTGGCTCACTGCAGCCTCAACTTCCCGGGCTCAAGCAATCCTCCCACCTCAGCCTCCCAAATAGCTGGGACTACAGGAGCATCCCACCACACCTGCCTGGCTGATTTTTTTTTTTATTTTTAGTAAATAAAAAAAAGCCCAAGCTGTTCTTGAACTCCTGAGCTCAAACAATTCTCCCACCTCAGTCTCCCAAGGTGCCAGGATGACAGGTGTGAATCAAAGCACCCAGTCAAAATTAACTACAAGTGGCAAGTTGTGGAAACCCTTTTCCTTTACTCCAGAGTATCAGTTCTGTTTGGAAACCTGCAGATCTGACAACAAGGAGCAAACCTGCAAAAGACCCTCTAACCGTGACATGACTGTGGATTTAGTCACTGTTTACAGAAGGCCCTGATATGTGACCAAAGAAATGACCTGGAGCCACAGACTGACCTAGGCAGGTCCTGAGATCTCCCAGGCAGCATCCTCCCCACGCAGTGATCACTACGGGCTTGTGGCAAGGAATCCAGGCAGCCTCGTTGACGCCACTGCCGGAATGGGCAGCAGAGTGCGTGCGAGGTAAGGTGGCACTCTGCACGGTGGGCCGTGGTCCTGGTGACATCGCACTGAACGCAATCATGCAGGGCCTAGAACAGCAGGTGCCACAGGGGCTGCTCTGTCCTCATCCCCAAGTCCCATGGAACTGGAATAAAAGAACTGACTGGAAACCCCAAGACACAGAATTTACTCTGCGCAAACCTCAGGGGAGGGACTGGCCTTCCCATTGCTTCTGCAACCCTAGCACGCGGCAAAGCAGACACTGAGGCACCCACCAAAGGAACTTAGCGCCACCAGCCTCACTCCAGAAACTTCAATTTAAAACACAAAGCATTTCAAAGTCAGGGACTGTGTGCGTATGAACCATTTCAAAGTCAGGGACTGTGTGCATATGATAAGAGATTTTTGCTTTTCAGTTAGTTTTCATGGATGATGACAGTGCTGAATTCCTTTTTTTTTTTTTTTTTTTTTTTGAGATGGAGTCTCGCTCTGTTGCCCAGGCTGGAGTGCAGTGGCCGGATCTCAGCTCACTGCAAGCTCCGCCTCCCGGGTTTACTTAAGCCATTCTCCTGCCTCAGCCTCCCGAGTGGCTGGGACTACAGGCACCCCCACTTCACCCGGCTAGTTTTCTGTAATTTTTTTTAGTAGAGACGGGGTTTCACCAGGTTAGCCAAGATGGTCTCAATCTCCTGACCTCGTGATCCACCCGTCTCGGCCTCCCAAAGTGCTGGGATTACAGGCTTGCGCCACCGCGCCCGGCCTACAGTGCTGAATTCATATTATGTTTCGCTAAAGAGATTTTTCTCATTTGAACCATAGAACAGTGTTTTCCATTTCACAGCCTTTCCGGATGGAGACCAACAGTGATAAACCCCTATAAAACAGGGCAACACCAGTAACCCCTTCGTGGGGCTGCTGCCAGGGAGACACGTCATCAGCCTGAGACCTGCTTTGAAAAGCCTGGAACAGGAAAGCACTCGAATAGCACAAGAACCACCCCGTCTTCCAACTCTGCAAGCTCAGCTCGTTTACTCACCTGACTGAAGTAACAGTGTAAAAGACAAGCATTCAGGTAAGAAGCTGACTGGACCAGTTTGAAAAATCTCACAAAATTATTACTGTTCAATGCAGCAAAAGCCTGAACAGCAAATTTCACCTCGGAGGAGTTTCTAACAGCAGGATGGAACTGTTGTACTTCTCTGTTAATTAAAGGAGAGAAAAGGGGTTGGAATGTTAATTTTAATAAGACAAAATTTTCACGAAGATAGATCTGATAAATAAAAACTTCGCTGGCCAGATGCAGTGGCTCACGCCTGTAATCCCAAAATGTGGGGAGGCCAAGGTGGGAGGATCGTTTGAGCCCAGGAGGTTGAGGCTGCAGTGAGCTGTGATCGCATCACTGTACTCCAGCCTGGGTGACAGAGCAAGACCGTTTCAAGTAATAACGATACTGGATTTCAACCATACTGAGAAGGAGGGTCTTACTGGTAAAATGTGCCGTTAAATTCAGTTTACTAACTTCAAAGCTACCACGCTTGGGCTGGTTTGACAAAGGTTTCTTTCCAAACAATAATGAATAAACAAATTCAAAAAGCAATTTAGGCATCAGTTATCAAAAAGTTAAAGTAATGCCAATCGACTGTCAGCTGTGCTGGGTGGTAAAGTCTAAAAAACAGAAAACTTAACACTTTTTGTTTAGAAATGAACTGATTTTGACTGAATTATTCGTGATGAAGAAATGCTTGTCGTGTAGAAAAAGACAATATAGCAATCTTTCATAACCAGTTTTTTTTTTTTTTTGAGACAGAGTCTTGCTTTATCGCCCAGGCTAGAGTGCAGTGGCGCAATCACAGTTCACTGCAGCCTCAACCTCCTGGCCTCAAGCAATCCTCTCATCTAGGCCTCCCAACATGCTGTGATAACAGGCCATGGGCCACCACACCTGGTCTTTTTTTTTTTTTTTAAGAGATAGGGTCTTGCTTTGTCACCCAGACTGGAGTGCAGTGGCATGATCACAGCTTACTGCAGCCTTGACCTCCTGGGCTCAAGGGATCCTCCCACCTCAGCCTCCCCAGTAGCTGGAACTACATGCGCACATCACCACACCTGGTGTTTTTGTTGTTTTTGTTTTTGTTTTGTAGAAGGGTCTCACCATGTTGCCCACGCTATACAAGGCTTAATTTTAAAATTTAAAATCAGACGGCACGGAGGCTCATACCTGTAATCCCAGCACTTTGGGAGGCTGAGGCAGGTGGATCACCTGAGGTCAGGAGTTCCAGACCAGCCTGGCCAACATGGCGAAACCCTGTCTCTACTAAAAATACAAAAAAACTGGCCGGGCGCGGTGGCTCACGCTTGTAATCCCAACACTTTGGGAGGCCGAGGTGGGTGGATCACGAGGTCAGGAGATCGAGGCCATCCTGGCTAATATGGTGAAACCCCGTCTCTACTAAAACTACAAAAAATTAGCCAGGTGTGGTGGCGGGCGCCTGTAGTCCCAGCTACTCCAGAGGCTGAGGCAGGAGAATGGCGTAAACCCGGGAGGCGGAGCTTGCAGTGAGCTGAGATCGCGCCACTGCATTCAAGCCTGGACAACAGAGCAAGACTCCATATCAAAAAAAAAAAAAAAAATTAGGTGGGAGTGGTGGTATGTGCCTGTAATCCCAGCTACTCGTGAGACTGAGGCAAGAAAATCGCTTGAACCCGGTAGGCGGAGGTTGCAGCGAGCCGAGATCACACTACTGTACTCCAGCCTGGGCAACAGAGCAGGACTCGGTCTCAAAAATAAAATAAAATAAAATAAAAATTTAAAATCAATCACACATCTAGATATTCTGCCACACAGTTCTTGAGGAAAATACGAAACTAAAAAAAAAGAGGTCCACCATTGATAGGAGAATCTCAGAACTAAAGGGAACACTGGCCACCATCAAGCTCGGCTTACCACCACCACAAGCAGAGGGCCAGAGAGCTCGCCAGTAAGTGTCTAATTATGGCTCAGACCAGGGTTTTATATTCATTCATTCTCACTACCCCATTCTTAGCATTTTTGTTTCACACAATTTTTTCCTCTCTTATTACTTAGATCTTTGACAAAACTACCTGGAAACAGGGAACTGCTGACAACCTGGAACTCCCTCTCCTGGTTCACTCACCTGTCTCATGAGGAGGATTCCTTCCTCATGTTCTCACTGGTGAGGAGAAACTGTTCTCAGAAATGAACATGTGGGGCCTACGTCAGATGTGCTGGTCCCAGGGCACACCCCCATCACTCTTCCCCCAGCTCAGCTCAGCCGAATGCACAGCCAGACCGAGGTCCTCTACTACCATCCCAACATCTGCTAACAGAGAGAACGCAGCACTGCTGGCTACTGCCAATCCTGAAAGCTCTTCTCCTGTTTAAAGCCACCTTAGGGCAACTTTTGGATGTGAAGATTCACCTTAGGATGTCTCCCTTGTTGAGACTGAGCAGAACATTGTAGCCCTGGAACTCCGCTTCGCTGGCACAGAAGACGCCCTTGTTTCTCAGGTCCTGGTACATCTCCTTCAGGCTCTGCAGGCACTTGGTCATGTTCTCATTATTGATCTTGGCATCAAAGGAGGACATGGGCTCCTCACACATGAAGTGGGCACAGTGGATGTGAAACCGGGTGCACTTCTCAATCAGGGACACCGTCAGGGGGTCGCAGAGGTGCTGCTGTGTGATATCCTGGCCACAGGCGAGGGGGAGGATCACACACACATTCCCATGCAAAGAGGCAACTGTGAGAAAGATCATGCTGCGACCTCAATTTCTCACATTTCAATTTGAAACAAAGCCCATGATGCACATTTTAATAGGACTTTGTAGTGACTTAAATAAAAGTCCTTGGGTTTTTTGTTTTTTTTTTTTTTTTTGAGACAGACTCCAGGCTGGAGGCGCAGTGGTGCCATCTTGGCTAACCACAACCTCCGCCTCCTGGGTTCAAACAATTCTCCTGGCTCAGCCTCTCGAGTAGCTGGGATTACAGGCGTGTGCCACCACGCCAAGCTAATTTTTACATTTTCAGTAGAGACGGGGTTTCACCATGTTGGCCAGGCTGGTCTCAAACTTCTGACCTCAGGTGATCCACCCACCTCGGCCTCCCAGAGTCCTGGGATTACAGGCCTGAGCCACCGCACCCGGCCCACAAAAGTACATTTTTGTTACAGATAAAATATATAACAGAGTAAAATAAAAGTAACTATCAGTTTGACTTTGGAATTTGCATGCATTTTTTAGTGTCCAGGTTGGAGGCAGCCAATACCTTCCGTATGCCACGCGTGCGGTTCCACACGAAGTCGTACCAGTCGCGCAGGCTGCCCTCCTTCTGGTCCATGATCTGGGTCACCAGGTAGTCCATGGTCCTGCTGAGCACTGGCAAGGGCCGCAGCTCGTGGGGCAGGGGCTCCTCCTGATCCGCCGAGGACCGACTGTACTCTTTCACGGCTGCTGCGTGGTCCACCTAGAGACATGATGCAGAGACAGGCTGCCCATGTGGCATACCTCGGGCCAGGCATACTTATGCCTGAAAATGAGGGGGAAAATCACATACACGCCCACACAAGATCAGTATTTGAGAATATATTTTTTCAACATAAAATTTCTGTTAAAAGGTGACAATCAGAATTCAAAGACAAATTGAGAAATGTGACTTTGGCAAATATGACAAGGAGTTAAGATACGAGCACGTCACGACAAACAGGAGGAATGTAAGTGAAGGCACATCTGCCAGGCTCCAAAGCAGAGAGACGGGACAGGAAAGGGCCTCCAGCATTTAAAAGGTCTCAGGTCTGCTCACACACCCGGTTAAGTCTACACAGACCAGAAGTGAAACAGAGACAGGCAGTGAGGACTGCTGAGGGCACAGCAGCAGGGGCCAGCTGCCCACCTGGGGCCAGGAGCTACATCTCCCACCTCAAAAGGAGGCCGAAGACGTGGCCAAGGGAAGAGGCAGAGACGTACACAGGATGAGCCCCTGAGTATTGCCCTCTCTTGGCGCAGGGGCCCTACAGTGACACAAGTTGCTGGGCTGGGGACCCCAAACCAGGCGAAGGGTGTATAAAGCCACCAGCCAGGAAGTGGAGGAGGAGCCCACAAGCAAAATTCACAGAGTCCAAAAGGATCTGTATTGGTGCAGCTTTCTAGGGAACTAATTTGGGAAGATTGATAATGTTCAGGAAAGGTCATACCCTCTGATGCAGTAATTTAATTCTTAGGATCTGAAGAAAATAATCTAAATACCAGAGAAGCATTACATATAAGATGCCAAACAATATTATTAATAGAACTAAAAATTTAGAAACAGCCTATCTACTAATGGTAAAAATGCAGTTTTGACAGAGCTACTAATAAAATAATATGCTGTCATTTTTAAATGCTCATAGTTTACCCTAACAAAGGAAAATGTTCATGACATAATTTTTTTTTTTTTTTTTTTGAGATGGAGTTTCACTCTGTTGCCCAGGTTAGAGTGCAGTGGTGCGATCTCAGCTCATTGCCAGCTCCACCTCCCGGGTTCACGCCATTCTGCTGCCTCAGCTTCCCAAGTAGCTGGGCCTACAGGCGCCCGCCACCACGGCCGACTAATTTTTTGTATTTTTAGTACAGACAGGGTTTCACCGTGTCAGCCAGGATGGTCTCGATCTCTTGACCTTGGGATCCGCCTGCGTTGGCCTCCCAAAGTGCTGGGATTACAGGCATGAGCCACCACGCCCAGCCTCGTGACATAATTTTAAGTGGAAAAAATACACATAAAATTGTATCTAGAGCATAACCTTGAATGTGTAAAACATAAGCATAGAAACAGACAGGAATAAGATTGTAAAAAGAAAAAAGTTAGCCGGATGTGGTGGCTCATGCCTGTAATCCCAGCACTTTGAGAGGTGGACGTGGGCAGATCACTTGAGCTTAGGAGTTTGGGACCAGCCTGGGCAAGACCCCATCGCTTCAAAAACTACGACGATAACTGGGCATGGTGGAGCATGCCTGCAATCCCAGCTACTCTGTAAGCTGAGTGAGATGATCACCTGAGCCTGGGAAGATGAGGCTGTAGTGAGCCATGACTGGACCACTGTGCTCCAGCCTAGGTGACAGAGTGAGACCCTGTCTCAAAAAAAAAAAAAAAAAAGAAAAACAACTTTATTTAAAATAACTTGCATCTATACCTTATCAAGTTATCATGTATAGGTACCAATTACAGAGTGAACATCTCACAATGCAAAACAGCTTAATATGATGGTTAATAGCGCCAATACCCAACACCCTCTAAAACAAACACCCAAATCAAGTAGGTACAGAAATGACAAAAGCAGCCCCATCCCCTGCACACCCTGCCCCACTCCACAGGGAGATGCAGGGCTCTACCTGGTCAGTCCCTGGGACCACTTCGAATACACTCAGCTGGCTACGGGTCTCCCGCATGTACCTCTCCTTCTCAGGACACATATCCAGGCAGGTCCCAACAAAAGTCCTCGCTTTGTCCAGATCGGTTCTCTTCACCCGAGCTAAGTGACGTCAAGTAAAAGGTAAGAATGTACCACATGGTTAGCACAAACCTACAGACGTGTATTCTCATAATGATAAAAAGAAATTAAAACACACACACACATTACAAAAGAAAAGAAAAATATTTGTAAAACTCTGAGCCTCAGAGAAAGAGGACTTATGTTCTATTCTGCCAGGCAGTGGGACATCAAAACTCCCGAAGACCCGAGTCCACCTCTCCAACAGTCACAGACCCTCACTGCAGATAAAAGCACGGGAGTGTCCTCACTTTCAGCCGGAGTTTTCTAACTCCTGTAATGACCTCAATGACAAAAAATCATGGTGCAGGATGTTTACTAAAAGGATTGACTTGTAACAACTGCAAATATTCAAAATATATCACTATTCTAAAACTCTGCCTCGGTATTCACCATGACTTTAATATAGGAATCATATAATGAAAGTTAACTGGGTTCTTACCTGAATAACTTCTATGATTACACTTAGAATTAAATAGTTACAAATGTAGCTTGCAAGTAAATGGAAATGCAACAACTTCACAACTAAAAATATATACTTGTTTTTATTATGAAAAATTCTAATACCTGGGCTGGGCCTGGTGGCTCACGCCTGCAATCCCAGCACTTTGGAAGGCCAAGGCTGGCAGATCACCTGAGGTCAGGAGTTCGAGACCAGCCTGACCAACACAGAGAACCCCTATTTCTACAAAGAATATAAAAATTAGCCAGGCAGGGTGGCGCATGCCTGTAGTCCCAGCTATTCAGGAGGCTGAGGCAAGAGAATCACTTGAACCTGGGAGGCGGATATTGCAGTGAGCCAAGACTGCACCACTGCACTCCAGCATGGGTAATAGAGCAAGACTCCATTTCGAGGAAAAAAATTTAAAAAAGAAAAATTCTAACACCTAATAATTTCATTTGGAATATAAAAATCACCATCATCAATGATATGATGTATGATGGCAGTTTTTATTACTATATATCACTATATTAAGGAAACATGGTGATTAATCGAAATATCCACAGCTTTTAAAAAAAGGAAACTCCTATAGCTGAATTTTTTTTTTTTTTTTTTTTTTTTTGAGATGGAGTCTCACTCTATCGCCCAGGCTAGACTGCAGTGGCGCAATCTTGGCTCACTGTAAGCTCCGCCTCATGGGTTCAAGCAGTTCTCCTGCCTCAGCCTCCCGAGTAGCTGGGATTACAGGCATGTGCCACCATGCCCAGCTAATTTTCTATTTTTAGTAGATACCGGGTTGCTCCATGTTGGTCTGGCTGGTCTCAAACTCCTGACCTCAAGTGATCCACCAGCCTCGACCTCCCAAAGTGCTCGGATTACAGGCGTAAGCCACCACGTCCAGCTTTTTTTTTTTTTTTTTTTTTTGAGACAAAGTCTCATCCTGTCGCTCAGGCTGGAGTGTAGTGGCACAATCTCGGCTCACTGTAACCTCCGCCTAGCCAGTTCAAGTGATTCTCCTGCCTCAGCCTCCCTAGTAGCTGGGACTACAGGTATATACCACCGCACCCAGCTAATTTATTTATTTATTTATTTATTGTAAAGATGGGGGTTTTGCCATGTTGGCCAGGCTGGTCTTGAACTCATGACCTCAGGTGGTCTACATGCCTCGGCCTCCCAAAGTGCTGGGATTACAGGCGTGAATCACCACACCCAGTTCAGCTGAAATTTAAGAGAATAAAATTGGCAAAGAGGAGCACCTGTGTTTTTTCCTTTTATTTTTGGTCCCTGCATGTATTTTTAGTGTTAATAGAATACTTACTTTTTAGTAGGTAATACATTCACACAGTTCAACATTGTAACAGTGTAAGGTTGCCCTGTCCGAGATGGAGCACTCCGCCATAACCTCTGCCCTTCAGAATCTGCTCCCTCTACAGATAGAAGTCCATTCTTTTGCATCCTCCCACTGCTATTTTATACATACATTAGCAAACATATTTGCACATATATGTACACACACACACAACACTCACTCCAAGAAGACTGGCAGACCATGAAGATCAGACACAGCACATCAGAGGCCCTGAGACTCAACAGCAATAGAGCCCAACGGAAAGGAGTTGCTCCTGCCCTGATGGCACCCAAGACGACGACCTCACCAGGCCCTTAGAACCTCTGCCACCACGTGCCATACCTTGCCGCATGATCCTGTCTCTCTGGTCAAGCAGGCGGTACTTCTCCTTGGACGTCTCAGCCACGGTGCCTATCAGGGTACTGAGGGACAGCACACATGGCCCGAGGCCCTCAGAGCCGTCGGAGGCTGAGTCAAAAGAGTCTCCCTCGAATTGGTGGGCCTTTAGAAGACTTGGCTTCTTCACTGGAGAGCTATAAAGTAAACACCACACTGAGGGCCCTCGTACCAGGAAGGCCTTCAGAGCATTTTCGTTTCTGAACACGTCCCCTCATCTTTCAAGATTTTATGGTCATCTAAAGCTGAGAAACTACAAGCACTTATTGAGTTTTGATAAAAATGGTAATGAACACAAAACCGTTATTCACATTATTCACTGACTTTAATATAATTTTGAAATATTTCATACTTTTGAAAAACAAAATAGCCTGGGCAACATAGGGAGACCCCATCTCTACAAAAATTTAAAAATCAGCCAGGCATGGTGGCATGTGCCTGTAGTCCCAACTACTTGGGAGGCTGGGGTGAGAGGACTGCTTGAGCCTAGCAGGCAGAGGTTGCAGTGAGCTGAGATTGCACTGCTGCTTTCCAGTCTGGGTTACAGAGTGAGGCTCCAAACTTACCACCCCCTACCAAAAAAAAGATAGGCACATTTAAACAGCTAAAAGGAGCACTTACTGATTCCTATCTCGAAGAAATGAAACTCAGCATGAAAAAAATCTTTAATATCATAAGGAAATATTATGCCTACATGTTTTAAAACAGAAGTTTATTTTGATAGGACATACTAAAAGGAATCAGGCATTCTCCCTCAGCTTCCCCATTTTCTAGCTTTCATCATTTTCTGAACTTGAATGTCAAAGATTATGTCAAACCAGCAACTAAACTGCTCATCACAAAATGGAAAGTGAGGAAAATACACTGGCCAAAAGATGAAAAGATGGATTCAGCCGGAGACCTGTCAAAGTAGGTCTGGTGTGAAAAGGAAAAGCCTTTGAGAACAGAGTTCCCCAGACAGATGAGGTAGCCAGGGCAGTTCACATCACGTGCTGACTAACACAACTAACACGGCCAACCGTGTCTGCTTCACTGTGATAAGCTGCACCTACAAAAAGTCATGCTGCCCTTCCTTTAAGTGACAGTTTTTAGAGAAAAAAAAAAAAAAAAAAAGTCATGCTGGAAACTGGAAACTGCTGTAAGTGATTATCAGAAATGCATGGTTTGACCGGGCATGCATGTCTAGTCAGGAGTTCGAGACCAGCCTGGCCAACATGGTGAAACCCCATCTCTACTAAAAATACAAACATATTAGCTGGGCATGGTGGAACATGTCTGTAATCCCAGCTACTAGGGAGGCTGAGGCAGGAGAATTTCTTGAACCCAGGAGGCAGAGATTGCAGTGAGCCAAGATCATGCCACCGAACTCCAACCTGGGCAACAAAGTGAGACTCTGTCTCAAAACAAAAGGAATGCATAGTTTACTACAGCCACTTAAATGCCTTGAGAAAAAAGTTATTGCTTATACATTTTTATGTCAAGTGGAACTGCACTCAACTGCAGTGGGATTCAGGACAAGTTAGATGAGCAAGGAGATTTGCTACTACAATCCTGTCAGGCAGGCAGCGACCCGTCACAGGGCGCCAGCCTGCGTGTGTCCCACAGAGCAGGCACTCTGTGCAAGGACAGAAGTTCTGCTGTCCTAAGTGAGCAGCCTCCCCTGGATCTCCTGTAGCTGCAGCTGAAAGGCCTACACCAGCTATAACAACTGTGTGATGAGATTCTCCCATAGAAAATGCCAAGTGGAAACAAGAAAAAAAGGCCAGCCCCAAAGGAAGGCTTTCTCAGCAACCTTGGCCCTAGGGTATGTGAGAACAAGACAGGACAGAATCACTGCTGTCCACCATCTCTATAGCTGACAGGTACCAGTGTCAGAAAATTCTCTCTTCTGGCTGCAACCACCAGCCCCACACAGACCCACCTCCTCATGGCCCATGCTGGCTGGAGGGGCAGAGCCCCTGCCCTCCACCCCCAGCCATCCCGGGCAACTGGCTTTTGTCTCCTCACCACTCTCCACAGTCTTGCACCCTGACTCATGTGTCACTGCAGGGCGCTATTTCCTGGTCCTTCCCAAATAAGGTCATTAGGAGGGACCGATCCCACCTTTTATTCAGGAGGCTGCTAGCACCAGCCCTCCCTGCGGCCTTGCCAAGAGGAGAGTGCTGAAAGGGTGCATCCTCTGTGCTCGGGCTGACTTCACCATCACCTGGTTTCTTCTCCTTCAGGGAAAAGGGTTTCTTATTGGGGCCTGTGGACACAGGAGGTAGAAAAGAGTTTATGCAATCATAGATCACCTGGTACTGGACTTTTTCACTGTTTCTGAGAAAGTAATATTATTTTCATTGTCACAGGAGGTTAGAGAAGAGCCCAAGGAAATAACTGTGAGATGCAAATCCACTCAGAGCCAGCCTCCCCCACTGGCTGGAGGAAAGGGCTCACGCTCAAAGGGTTTGGACCAAGAGCATGAGAAACTGAAAAGAGGGCCGTGCACAATGGCTCATGCCTGTAATCCCAAGATCAGACTGGGCAACATAGCAAGATCTCATCTTTATTAAATAAATAAATAAATAAAAATAATTTTCTTAAAAAGTGAAAAGAATAATTGAAAACTCACTTATTTTCTTCCTGTGCCAAAAGATAGCCATGTCTTTATGCAAACTTTTCCCCTTCTTTCTAGCCAGGGCTGCAGATGCCTGGAAAACAGTCCACAACCACCAAGTGTGAGTACATCAGGAAACCAAAGGAAATGGGATTGAAAACTCAAACGCAGTAAGCACAACAGACCATTCAAAAGCACCAGGAGCCGGCGTCCTTTGCACGACAGTGATTCCTCCACCCACACGTCTGCTGCTTGCATGGTCTCTGGCTGTGGCAGCAGCAGGATTCATCTCCCTTACCTGTCTCACCAGCATGTATTTGCTCTTCCCTCTTTTTTGTTGTTTTTTTTTGAGACAGAGTCTCGCTCTGTTACCCAGGCTGGAGTACGGTGGCGAGATCTTGGCTCACTGCAAGCTCCGCCTCCCGGGTTCATGCATTCTCCTGCCTCAGTCTCCTGAGTAGCTGGGACTACAGGCGCCCGCCACCCATTCCTGGCTAATTTTTTGTATTTTTAGTAGAGACAAGGTTTCACCGTGTTAGCCAGAATGGTCTCCATCTCCTGACCTCGTGATCCGCCCGCCTCGGCCTCCCAAAGTGCTGGGATTACAGGCATGAGCCACCGCGCCCAGCCCCTTTTTTTAAATTAACAACTTTGCTTCATAGAACCCACAAACTTGGCCTTGTTGGCATTTGGTGAGATGATTCTCAGCAGCTGATCACATATACAGAAACAGTAAGTTTGCCAAGTCACAATTAAGCACAAAAGGGAGCTGCAGAATAACACACACGGGATGCCACTTACTACAGAAAACACACACAAAACCAACCACATGTTAGTCTCCCTGTAGATACACTCATAAAAATGTCTAGAAAAAGGCAGGGCACCGTGGCTTATGCCTGTAATCCCAGCACTTTGGGAGACCCAGGCAGGCAGATCACGAGGTCAGGAGATCAAGACCATACTGGCTAACATGGTGAAACCCTGTCTCTACCAAAAACACAAAAAATTAGCCGGGTGTGGTGACGGGTGTCTGTAGTCCCAGCTACTCGGAAGGCTGAAGCAGGAGAATGGCATGAGCCCGGGAGGCGGAGCTTGCAGTGAGTGGAGATGGTGCCACTGCACTCCAGCCTGGGCGACAGAACAAGACTCCATCTCAAAAAAAAAAAAAATCTAGAAAAATACCCCCCACACTAGTTAACCTGGACTACTCCTAAATAACAGGAGAGATAAGGATGTTCAGTTTTGTCTGTATCAATGAATTGTTTATAAAGGCAATGTATTTAAATATTAGTTATGTCATAAAATATTTAAGGTTCAGCTGGGAGAATGAGCACACTGCAATAGGCAAAAAATAACTTTAAAAACAAAAGCGGGGCTGGGCATGGGGGCTCATGCCTGTTATCCTAGCACTTTGGGAAGTGGAGGTGGGAGGATCACTTGAGCCCAGGAGTTTAGGACCAGCCTGGGCCACATAGTTAAACTTCAGCTCAAAAAAATAATAATAATAATAAAATAATAGTAATAAATAATAAAAACAAGGCCAGGCATGGTGGCTCATGCCTGCAATCCCAGCACTCTGGGAGACCAAGGTGCATGGATCACTGAGGTCAGGAGTTCAAGACCAGCCTGGCTAACGTGATGAAACCCCATCTTCACTAAAAACACAAAAATTAGCCAGGCGTGGTGGTGCGCACACAATCCCAGCTACTAGGGAGGCTGAGGGAAGAGAATCGCTTGACCGGAAAGGTGAAGGTTGAAGTGAGCCAAGATTGTGCTACTACACTACAGCCTGGGTGACAAAGCGAGGCCCTGTCTCAAAAACAACAACAACAACAAAAATGAGAGCCGACACAATGACTCAGATCTGTAATCCCAACACTTTGGGAGGCTAACGCAGGAGGATAGCTTGAGGCCAGGAGCTCGAGACCAGCCTGAGCAACATAGTGAGACCGTGTCTCTACAAACGCAAAAATAAAAACAATTTTTTTAATTTAAAAAATTAAAACTAAAAACAAATTAGGATTACCACATGACCTAGCAATTCCAACCCTAAGAATATACCCCAAAAAATTGAAAGCAGGGACTCAGTTATATGACAATGAACATTATTCACAACAGCCAAAAAGTAGAAACAACCCATGTCTGCCAACAGATGAATCAACAAAACGTAGTCCATCCACTCAAAGGATTATCACTCACTTTATAAATTTCTACTTTATAAATTTCTCTAGAACATAATTTTGTCTATGAGAATACTGAGAAAAAACAGTGAAGATATAAAGCTATACAACATGAGCAGTCCACACTCACTGCACCCTAGAAAATATTATGCACTTGAGACTCCATCTCAAAAACAATAAATAAATAAAAAGAAAGTCTGATGCATACATTTAGTCAGGATACAAACCCAGTGCTTCAAAGCAGTTATCTCTAGAGGATAGGATGACAAGGGGAATTTCACTTCTTTTTTTTTTTTTTTTTTTTTTT